GGCCTCCTACCCGCGCCTATACTCAATACCTTCTACCATACCGACATACGTACGGAAATACCCACATGTCCATTTCTGATACATGCATATTTGAACACACACGGGCATATAAGTGTATCCATGTATAGACGAAGTTCATACATCTAGATACAGACACGTAATCCCGCCCGCATATACCTAAAACCCTAACACCTCCTCCCCCCCACCACACACACCCACACAGGTGGCCCCTAATTTCGGTCCCCCGGAGGACTGGAAGGGCATCGTGCCCACGTTCGGTACCTTGTCCTTTGACTTCGTTAGCGGCGTGCTGGCGCCGGAGAGCGCCCAGCCCATCAGTAACGACCTGCTGAACGAGGTCATCACAACTGATGTGAGCGCAATTAGAGAGATTATTTTTAATATAACGTTTTTTTATTTGGTAAAAAATTATCCTATTTATTCAACATTTTTTGGGAATTTCCCACCCTAATTTTGCATTTTTTTTACGTTTCCTTTTGTATTTATGTTTTGTTTTTTCTGATCGTATGTTGTTCTTGTTTTGCGTTTTTTAATCCCTTTAACCATATAATATTATTGAGCTGTTTTGTTGCGAGGTGTGTTTCTGGCTTGGCTTGGCTTAACCTGGCCTGGTTTCCTGTGCCGTTCCTGTGCCGCCCTCCAGACAGTGCGTAAAAGCCGAACTGTAAAAACTTATATGTATATCGATGACGTTATCTTTAGAAAATTCATAAAAAATATAAAAAAAATTATTAAAAAATTTAACTAGGGGGCGGCTTTTCGAAGCCGAAAAGGGGCTCGGCCCCGGTGCAGCCACTTCCAGGAAAGCTATCTTCGCGCTCCGATTTATCTGGAATTTCTCCTTTGGCATTTCGATGTAGAATGGATATTTTTAGCATTCAAACGCTATTTTTTGCGGGGCGAGATATGTAAGCCACTGACTGACTGACTGACTGACAGCAGTGAACCCGGGGGGCTCGGCCCCCCGAATGGCGCTTCGCGCCCGGGGCCTCGCCCAAAAATGACGTTTGGTGTGTTTTTTCTTTGATTCTCTGCTCCCCAGTTGGGTATCGCTCTGGACGCTTGGGGCCGGCCGGTTCCGGAGCGGGATTTCGAGGTGGCCTCTCACCAGGTTGCGAGGTTGCGGCCCGTCGTGTCCAACATGACCTTCACTTCGGAGCAGGTCAAGAAGCTGGTGGGGGCGTTTCTGGTAAGGGGGAGTTGGTAGCGGGGGAGAGTGGTGGTGGTGGTGGTAGGGGTGGTCATTCCGCGAAAAAAAACCCACATCCATCCATCCGTACATACTTACGTCAACCTCGCCTTTACCCTTACGGGCCGCTTGCTCCTCTTCTCAGTTTTCTTTTCTCCACGCCGCCGTTTGCACATTTTCGCCTGATTTTAAATAATCGCCTTTCTCTTCCTGTCCTGTCTTGAACGCCTGGCACTGCCCGTCCACCCCTCCAGGAGGCGCCCCCAGCCACTCAACGCATCCCCTCCCGCCCCCAACCCACCTTTCACCTCCCCCCTAAACACACAAGTTGCCACAACCAATAACCCCTCCCCCACCATCACCCCCGTAACCCACTCTGAGCCGCCCCACCCGCCCCACCCGCCCCACCCGCCGTAACCCCTGTAACCCCCCGGG